TTTATTAAAAGTAAACTATTCATATAGCTAACGGAACAACGGTTGGTGTACTCAAATTCCCCGTTCGTGCCTAAAATAATAAATGGAGTGGCAACTGATATCTTCCTCCACCAGTAAACCTAGTAAAGTCGCCATATGACATTTACAGTGTTTGTGCGGCGTTAAAACCCAACCAACCTAAAAAGAATTAGATTCCAAGTTTTCGGTTTTATTATACATGATTTGTATGGCTATAAATATGTAATAACTTTGTTATTGCCTGTTGAAATATATATCCTATGTTTTATTATAGTGAACTTTATTAGAGGTAAGAATCAATAGCTACAGCAATTAAAATTATCACACAGGGGAACCAAAATAATATGGTTCACAGAAATATCCATTGTTTTCACATATATGTTGGTTCCCGGTAAAACATATACTGGTTCTTCTCACATATATGGTGGCGGGACGCCAGGCGAAAATACAACAATTTAACGTCTGGCGCCCCGCGGAGCAAAAATACGACAGATCAGCCATCATCCCATAAGATAACGTCATAATAAAAGTTGACAGTATTGAACTATTTTTTGTAAATATCAACTATATTTTTTATAAAAAAAAAAAATCGAAATGTTATTCGACCTGTAAATAGTTCCTTTCAAGTATTGTCATTAATTTTGGTGTCGTTATTTTTTTTTTTTTTTTTTTTTTTTGTTTGTTTGTTTTTTTTTTTTGAGAAAATTTTGTCATAGGTCAAGGTGTGTCAAACATTCAACGTGACGATTGAAAAAATAAGTTAAGGTTAGTGCTTATCAATTAGCATTTATAAAAGAACGGCGACCGATTTTATTGGGTAAATGCTTACTTTTGAAAACTAACCAATTAAGTGCTTGAAATTATTTTGAATAGTAAGCCGATTTACTAAAGTAAATGTGTTTTAATTCATTTGAAATGCTGTAAACCTTTTAGACAACAAATGATTTCAAACACTAAATAATAGTTCATACTTAATAAAAAAAAAGAATAAGTTAAAATTGTAAAATTAAAAAGAAATACCGTTCAATATGTTCCTCATATTGGAGTTTAACCATCATACATTTTACCAGAATTCAACATATCTTTTTAACTGATTCATATTTCTGTGAACCATCTCACGCCTGGTCATATTCGAAGCAGAGTTTACCTTGTTTACACTTGAATGCAATTTATGGAAATATTTCCAAGATTTATGTTTACCGGAGTTAAAATCATTAAATATTAAATAAGATATCAATTAAAAATATATTTCATTTTTAGGTATTGAAAGTGAAAATTTCAAATGTCAAAACACTAATGATATTGCCATTGAAGTTGGTAGACATGTGATTGTTTCAAAAAAAAATATAGTATTGTTATTAAAACTTAGTGAATCGAATTTCTTTTAAAAAATGCTTAACAAGTAAGTATTGTAACACAAATAATTTGAATAAATGTATACAAGTTTATAGATCATACTATAGTCTTGATCAAAACTACAAACTTACAATTATTACATAAAAGTATTAACACATTAATACATTGTATACACACTAAGTTTTTGAATGAACATATATTTATCCCAGTGTTTATATGCTTAATACAGTAAGCTAGTTATTTTTGCTGTTGATGATGATGTTATTATTGTTGTTGCTGTTGTTGTTGTTGTTTTTGTAGTCGTCGTCGTCGTCGTTGTCATGTAAAAAGCGTTGATGAGGCAGGCAACAAGATCATTCTGAGAGAAGAATTCTAACTCGCTGACATTTTTTGCGTACTGCATCCACATGATTTGAATGTGAATAAACTGTAACAAATCTTCTGATTAGAGATACTCATTGATTGTTATGAATGGAACACCTTTTTATGTTTCAGCACATAAATATGACGAAAGAGATATATATTGTTCTCCTTATACTATGTACGTACAGTCAGTAGATATATATGTAGATACATACAGCGTTCCTCGACACAATGTTACTTTATGAATATGGACATCACATCAGCTTTGGCCATTCCTGTAAGTAAAATATATTAATGCCATTTTCCTCGAATATTATTTCAATATTCATTGTACAAATTAAGTACACAAATAAAAAAAAAAATTCGTTGGCTACGCAAAACGTATTTTAACATTGAATTTCAAAATTTCAGGATTTTGTATCTATCTAGGAATCGTTTACATTAATCTCAACCAAATTAAAAGATGTTATGATTCAATGATGAAAGTTCGCTGCATTGCAAACGTGTACCTGATGTTAACTATATATATTCGGACCATAACTAACGAGCTAGCATCCTTAAGTTCAAGCATTGAGGTGATTGAACCTGTGTTGGCCTTAGTTTGAAACCCGTGTTAGCCAAAGGCATTCAGGTTCGGCGCCCATTATGACTAAATGTTGTTGGTATGTGCTGTGAAACACAAATAAACAAGAAGGTGGACCGTAAACAAGTAGAGCGGCAATACTGATTAAAATCACAGCCTCCCAATTAACGGTGCAACATTAGATTCTGACGGCACCCTCTCGTTTCTCTCGAACAGCACATCCTCGGCGAGCTTCACGAATTTTAAAAACGTGTTTCTAATTTAAACCACTTGGAAAAACCCAAATCCTCATTAGGTAATTTTAGGATTTCGAGAACAAACAAGGCGTTATTCTTACCAAAACGATTTTGCACATTAAAAATTTAGTCTATTACGTTTTTCCAGTAAACGTGTTTCAAATTACTTCAAACATTTTTTTTCTTACAAAAATCAACAATTTGTTTTACTTCCACGGACAGCAATATTTTAATACTTCGTCTAATGTCTTTCTGTAAAGGACGGTTTGATTGCATGGCTGAAAATAGCTTTCTTTGGAAATCTGAATCACTACGAAGGCGTAAACAAATACGGTGGCAATCAGATCTTCATGAAAAAACTAACTTAAGTGTATCTGAACTTTATACTGATTGGTTGTCTAGAGCATTCTGACCACATGCAATTTTCAAGGCAAACATCTTTAAATGTTCATATAAATAAAACTTGTTTGACTGGTTTTTCTTTTACCTGTCATCGATTCAGGATATCCGAATGTTGCGGAAGTAGAAAATAGGAACTGTGGGTAAGACGGAAGCTTGTCGTACATACAAGGAAATGCGTCACTGACCACAATCATGGAATACCCGGCATCAGACAGACATCCGGCATAATGACGATTGATCATGAATCTTCTACCTGGGTCATGCCTGTAATGTAAGTGTTCAAATATTTAAATGTTAGTGCTAATTGTTCAATGCAAGAGTTCAAATGTGTAATATAAGAGTTCAAATGTTAAATGTAAGAATTAAAATGTTTTAAGAAGTTCAAATGTTGAATGTAAGAGTTTCAATGTTTTATGCGAGTGAGTGAGTGAGTGAGTGAGTGAGTGAGTGAGTAACGCGTTCTTTTAATGAGGCGGACAAGTTCGGTTTCCCAGTCACCCATGTGTCATCAAGAAAAAGTATGTAAGAGTTCAAATGTTTAAATTTAAGAGTTTAAATGTTAAATATTCAAAGTGTTTAAAGTGATCAAATGTTTAAATGAGAGTTCAAGTATTTATTGTAAGACTTTAAATGTTAAATGTACGAGTTCAGATGTTTAATGCAAGTGTTCAAATGTGATTATGCTTGAACTAGGACTGATGCAAAATGATTATTATACATGTTATAGAACAGAATTACCCACAAACCGTAAAAAATAACGGTATCCTTAAAATTTATGGTTGCTCCTGTAAAATCAAATGCTTTCTTAGAGTAATGAAAAATAGGATTTTTTCTTTTCTTTTTATATAAAACTGGAGTAACAAAACTCGGTAATCATAAGGAAATCAAAGTTTAAGTATAAGTTTACAAATATAGAATTTTTCTTTTAAAACCTTATACAATTACGATCTGCATAGCATAGAATAATCGGAATCCGAATATTGTGATAGACGAAAACTACTCCACTTTGACGAATCGTAGCAAAACTACCGTTTACAACACATTAACTTCCTGTAATCAATTGAGAAAAATAAATATTAAAGAAAAGATGCGTAGAAATTATTGTATTGACATTGAAGACATAAATACTTGCATTGTATTCCACATCGTTTCGTTTCGCGCAAAACCTTGATAATGGCCGGTTGTTACTACGTATTTACAGCTAAACTCTGGTATTTTTCGATTAGGAAAAAGGCTCTTATGTAGCGTTTTGGATGTTTTGACAAATTTACATATTCGGTTTGTATGAAAAATATTGCTGTCATCTTCAAGCAATAACAGTAACAAAATCGGACACGGTGCCTCGCTTTTCATTTTCGGTACTTAAAGTTGATTAAAGAACACAAAAAGAGCTATTATCACGATTGTCTAAATACATGCATGACTATTGATGTTTTTCACAAGTCGACCAGTCAGCGAGTGGATCTACGCCAATTAGTCTGACTTCGAAGAAATTTAATTTATAAATACACATGTATCTATTGGTAGATTTGCAGCATAACTATTTTGAGGGTTGAAATAGATTTTTCTACAAACCCAATGATGGAGAAGTAATTGAAAGAATCTGTAGCAAGTAATGTCCAAGTTGACTGCACAATATTTGAGAGACGAGAACCAGCTGGTAATGTCACTTCCGGTCGCGTCAAATATTACGTAGGCAGCTTCTTTGTTGTCCTTGTAGAAAGCAAACTTTACCTGTTAAGAAAAATACAACATTTGATCAAGAAAAAGATAAAAAATAATAAATAAATAAATAAATAAATAAATAAATAAATAAGTAAATAAATAAATAAATAAAACAATGATAAATAAAACATTGATAAACAATGAGATGAATCATTTCTGAGATAATATTTTGAAACGTGAAACATTTTAAATATTGTTTTTCTCAGAACTACGTACATGTATATCTTTGATATTTATCAGTCGCTTTCATTGCATTAATTTGAATTAAGCTGGACAAGGTTAGGGTCACCTTGCACAATATCCCTGTAATTTTGACATGGTAATTTTGTACAAATTTTACGAATGTAGCAGGTGCCCAAATCTTGTGTAACGCAACACTTAAAGAAGGATAATTTACAGGGATAAATCAAGATGTGGGTCATTGACCTAACGGTAGTATAGTGGTGTTTGACCTGGTGAAATGGGACGTCCGAGTATTCCGTTAGTCTACATCCTGGTTTCCTGTTGAATGGACAAGCAATAAACTGCTCAGATTAATCTATCTGATTGCATCCGTGTGTCAAAGTATCCTAAGAACTTAAACATCTATGTAAGTTTGTTATAGCATTATAGATTTACTATAATGCATTATGGTGGCAGCGGTGATTCAATTCTACATGTAGCTGCGGCCTGTATTTTTAAGACGCTACCAGTCTTCTGACCCACTTAAGGTTTTAATACCATTGTGGTTTCTAATTAGGATATTTGATACCGGTATCATATTTTTTCTTCTTCTATTATTGTCTCCAAAACATAGCAATTTTTGAAAGGAAATTGCAGAGGAATTTTTAAGAGTGATATTTTCATAATATTGCTTATTTCAGACAGAAAGAGGTGCAATATATTTTATATTGCATAGTAATTCAAAGAGTGATATTCTTTTAATATTGCTTATTATAGTTACTGTAAGGCACAAAATTATAGTATTGTGTAGGTGTGTGGAATAAAATGAATTTTATTTCGGAAATTGTTTTACAGTAACGGTGGTAAGTGGTACTTTGCACGCCCTGTAATTGCCTGATATTTTTAATTATTTGTAATAAAAATATTGTAATAAGTAATTTTAAATATGGCAATGGCGATGGATAGGTAAGACACAACGGGCGCCACACCAATAATTTTAAGGTTTCGATTAATTTTGCTTCTGAGGACGAGTTGGTTAAAGTTCCGGGGGTTAGTAAGACGTTAAACATTTGATGGCAATGGCAGCTGGGAAGCTTTCATTTTTAAGTTTTCCAGATATGCCAAGAGGTGCCAGTGGTCAAATGGGGATAAACTGAATGCGTTGTGCTGGACATTAGATGGCAAAGCTTTAGATTATTTTGTAATTTTACTTAATAGTGGTGAAGTGCAATCGTATGCTTCTTTATACGATAAACTGGAGGCTCGGTTTGGTAACCAAATCTCACCAGAGGCAGCTCAAGGGCAATTTTATCAAGTACTTCAAAACCCGGGCGAATCTCTTGATGCTTTTGCAGACAGGTAATGTGCCTTAGCCGATAAAGCCTTTCAGGGGGTGTGAGCCCAATTTATAACAAGTCAGGTTATAAGTAGGTTTTGCCATGGTTTATTAGACCAACAAGCTGGGGTTCCATGTTTACATGCAAGATCTATCCACGATCGAACAAGCCAAATTAGTGGTCCGTTAGTACCAACAGAGCCATGAGGCCATATTTGGTAGGAGCAAACGCAGTGAAAGGTATGAAGGAAAGAAAGTTTCTTCAGTCAGTACTGATAGTTACGAAGTTCAATCCTCTGAAGATAACTCTTCTGTGACTTGGGAAACTGTGACAGAGGCTGTTGTGGAACTTGAAAATAAGTTAGAGAAGGGCTTTCACAGTTGACTAAGCTAAGGTCAAAGGGTAGCCCTAAAAGTTTATTAAATGGTTTTAGGTGTTTTAAGACTACAAGGTTGGGTCTAAATTATGATTATTCTAATGTGTGGTTCTTTAAATCCCCTAGGGGGAAGGGAATTGGATATAAATATAATGTAGGATATCGATTTTGGGAAAGTCAGGTTGTAGGAAATCAACTTGAGGGAAATGCCTTGTAGTTGGAAATAAGTCTTAGGGGACTTAGAGCTTGCCTCTAACCAGTTTGTAATGTGCGGGTAAGGATAGCAGCAGGAAAAAAGCTCAGCCTCTTGCCGGTTAGTTATGGTGGGGGTGGGGTAGTTTGCAGATAGGAATCGACATGGGTAATTAAATCTACTAGCATCTGGTGGTTTATTCAGAGAAGAACTACCATGGGGTAATTAAATTTATTTATGGTGGTTTAGCTGATTGCATACCATATACTGATCACTTAAATAAGGTGGTTTATTGTTTTGGGAGCCACAAGGTCATTTGGGGGACGGTCGAAGGATCTATCCCGGTGTAAGTTGCTGCAGTACAGATCTAATCGTAATCATGGTAAAATGATGTAATGTCTGGTACCATGTGGGAAATCGATTTGGGGTAAATTGCCTTGTGATAGGTGTCAATTAGTATATGATAGCCCATGAATTGGGGATCCTTTATTGACGATGTAGATGTGGTGCTATTGGCAAGTAAAAGAATCATTTGGGTCACTAAGGGTCTTGGGAAGCCTGCCAGGGAAGGAACTAAAATCTACGGCTTTCAGGTTAAAATCGCATTTGTCATTGAGTGTGTTACAATCAGTCTTGCTAATAAGGAACCTAGGGAACGAATCAAAGGAGTGTATGCTCATTACCTAGGAATCATCTTAGTAATAATGAGTTGCGGGCTCCTTATTGGTGATTATGTTTCAAAAGTCCATTCTGGTGTTATTTACAAAAATCTGAGTCCCAGAACTGAGATATTAGGTAACAATATAGTCATCATTAAGAGAAGGTTTGCTCACATATAGACAAGCAAGTTGCATCTGGTCAGTTAAGTTCACTGCCATGTAGGGGGTCACCAAGTACGCAGTTAATTCTTCTAAGCTGAATGACCTATATAGTCATTCGGTAGGTTGCTAGTTCGGCCGACAAGCAATTTATATGACAGTTTGTATTGGATCTATTTGGATGCAGGCGTCTATTAATAGTGATCATTACAAATGTTAGTACAATATTGTATTGCGTGGTTGGGGGTTTCTTATGGCAGAACTAGAATGAGCATCTTGCAGATCTGAAGTAGTCATTGTCATGATGTTATCTGTTAGGTTTAGTTCTTGAAATAATGTCAGAGTTATAACAGTTATCAAAGGAAATGTGTTGTCTTTTTAGGGAGGTAAGAAATAAGACTGGATATTTATGATTCAGTGTGGTTATAGTAATGTGGTTTCACAGCTTATGGGTGAAGGTTACTTCTTGTTGGTCATTGAATATAAATCTGAGTCTGGATTGTTTGTTGTCCAGACAAGGTCTTTTATTGAGGATTGGGATATAATTCTCAGGATGGTCATGATGATAAGCTGGTAGATGTGATATGTGTTGTGGTATTCTCTAGATATAGGCTGCATATCCTTGCATCTGAGTTTGAACCAGTGCATGAGTGGGTTAGAGTGTTTTGACAGTAGTAAGAGATAAGTCTTCAGTGTATCAATTAGACCTGAATGAGGTTTCTGTGTTTGTTGGTGATTGTTAGATATTAATGTTGGTAAATTCTTCTCTGGGTGCTACTGGTGGCAATTCATTCTAAAAAATTCTACAGTAGGCTGCTCAGATGATTATGTGAGTCGTAGAATTCTGCATAGTGGGCTGCTCAGGTGATTGAGTAAGTCTGAGTGGGGCTGCTCAGCTGATCAAGTCATAGCTGTGCTGCTCAGGTGATTGTTTAATGATAATCACCTATTTGGTATATGTACTAGAGCATCGTACAGTACCAGTACTGGTAAGAATCCAGGAAGTCATTCAATAGGCTCGTATTGAGTGCTGAATTAGATACTAGAAAGGTCTAATCTGGCAGCCAGCCTTTCCAAATAGGACGGGGAGGAGTGTGGTGGTCTTGACCTCACGGAAGTATAGTGGTGTTTGACCTGGTGAGATGGGACGCCCTAGTATTCCCTCAGTCCACATCCTGGTTTCCTGTTGAATGGACAAGCAATAAACTGCTCAGATTAATCTATCTGATTGCATCCGTGTGTCAAAGTATCCAAGGAACTTGAAACTTTATGTAAGTTTGTTATACCATTATAGTTTTTCTGTACTACATTATGTTTAATTAACTAAATGTTTAGATAATTCGAACATATTTTTCAGAATTCAAATATGTATTAACGTTCTATTGTACCTGTTGCATTCCGATTGAGCTCCAAGAATCAACGACTGGATTACGATAATTCTTATCGCATGTAGTCACGTTAGTCGTGATGCATGTGACGTCATCTACGGTGACGCCAATTCCGTCAACCCATGCTCTATATATATCGCCACCGATATCCGGAGTTCCACGAAACACCAACAACCAATCTGAAGTATAAATTGTATTTTTGAATCATATCTAGAGATATGTATGAAAGGTCTTGCTCTTCTAAAGGGAAAAAGGGTTAAAACTAGCCTCTATGTATATATGTACGAATGTCATGGCATTTTACTTAGAGTATGTGAGAGCGGATTTATAGTTAATGGGTGTAAATGATGTTGGGAAGAAAAAGTAAAAAAAGTATAAGAAATTTCAAAGCGGCACCTGAATTTAAGGTCTTGTAAATAGGGCTTCGACATACAATTTCATTACAGTTTTTCCCGCTCTGACACCTCTACTTACTTAATAATACGGTGGATTTGTAACATTTGTTTTCATTGGACGATCCCCAAAACCATTTCCTACACGCCTGGTAAATGATAGAGCTACCTCTTTCGGACGTATACGGTTATTTGCTCTATCGCTACTTCCGAGCTAGCGCATGTCGCTTAAATTTAGTGCCATCAAAGGTAAAATCTTTTCTTTTTTTCATATATTTTGTAAACATAACATCAAATATCGAAATTCTAAGAATGCTATACCATGTAAATTTGATTAAAATTTCCAGGAGGCGTAAAGTTGATAAATTTGTGTTTGAAAAGAAATTGTAGCGGCGTTTCCCAATCAGCGAATTTATATGGACCGTTTTATCATAAAAGAGATGATTTATCCTCCTAGTTTTACCTAAACAAAGATCCAAATTAAAAGCGAATGCGTTTCATGTTGATATTAGGTCTAGATTAAAATATTTTTTTATCGGAACAAAATAATAGTAATTAAAGAAAATATATGATATTTATTCTGCGAGACAGCTCTGTCGTTCTGTCGCCATATCAACGAGCAAAATGAGCGAGTATTTTTTGTTTACTTGAAAATTTCAAAGTTGCATTGAATTACTTAAATACATTTTCACCGGAAATAGATGTTTGTGTTAATTTGAAATCAGTTTTTAAGCTAGTGATTTTAAAGCTTTATTGTAGATATTGACACGTGCGCATATGCACCAGTCACAGCAACGTTTACGACAACATCCCGGAAATGACGTTAGTTATTGAGAAATACAATAAATCTTTTTATCACACACCCGTGCCGACGTTGCGACTCCGTAAAAATGGTATTGCACGGCCGTGCATATATTTTGACGTGACGTCATTAGCGTTATACAAACTTAGTGTAAAGACGCGCTGGATGTTAGCGTATATATAGGCGCGCCAATGAAAATGACTCTTATTTCAATTTAAATGGTCTTTATTTTGGGTATGTGATAAATAGAATTTTAAATTCGTGTAAGTTCATTACTAAATTTATTGCACTCGTTGAATAAAATAATATTATGCTCGCCAGAGGCTCGCATAATATAATTTTATTCAACTCGTGCAATAAATTCAGTATTGAACTTACACTCATTCAATATCCTCTATTTAGAAGGGACGGGTTTACTCAACACAATTACTCGCGTTTGACGAATTGTGCACATGTGGTTATGTAAATTAAGTAGAATCATAACGCACTTCCGTCAAATTATTAATGTATTCAATAATTGAAAAAAAAACAAAAAAACAATGACTCTATTTGAAATACAAACATTGCAAAATGTTTATCACGATACTTAATCGTAACGCATTGAAAGCATTACTCTATTAACAAAAGCAACTTTTATTCTTAAAAGCTAGAAATAAGCAATCATTCTCATGAATATATAAAAAAAAACAATTAATAAATAAAAGCAGTGGGAAATTAAATTAGAGGTACAAATGCATTGGGTTGTCACAAGAATTTTTTCTATGGCTATTGATCACAGCAATTATTAATATGCAATGAAGCGAAACGCTTATCAGCTAACTCTATAAAACAAAAACAAAAAATGTTTTTACTCTATCACCCTGTTTCTCTATTGGCCATTTAGATTCATGTTTTATAAATGAATACCTCGCGTTGGTAATTATCTTTCTGAAGTTTATAAGCAGTAAAATAATTTTGTTTTCATAAACTAAAGGTCGATTCTCAAACGAGTTGTAACAAAAAAAATCTTTGTTATTTAAAACAAATGAATATTGTATGAAAACACACAATAAAATGTTCCGGAACATATTATACTTTTGCTATCTACATGTAGTAGGATTTTAACTGTTTATCGATGATTTCGTGCGTGCATGCATCATTCGCTTTGAAAGAAAGATGCAAACATATTTCTTTGATACAGAGCCCCTAAGGTGACATTCTCGACACTATTACCCCGGCATTTAATTCGTTTTTACGAAATATTAATTCGTAATTACGTAATATCAATTCGTTTTTACGAAATATTAATTCGTTTTTACGAATTGATATTTCGTAATTACGAAATAACGTTTCGTTTTTACGAAATATTAATTCGTTATTACGAAATATCAATTCGTTTTTACGAAATATTAATTCGTTTTTACGAAATATTATTTCGTAATTACGAAATATTAATTCGTAAAAACGAAATGTTATTTCGTAATTACGAAATATCAATTCGTTTTTACGAAATATTAATTCGTATTTACGAAATATTAATTCGTTAAAACGAAATGTTATTTCGTAATTACGAAATATTAATTCGTTTTTACGAAATCTTATTTAAGGTCATTTTGAGCTTGATAATGAACCTATTAATCTCACAAAATGGGTCATTTACATGCCTTGATCAACTTTGCGATTATAAGCCGAATGGTTCTCAAGTTATTATAAGTGAACAGGGTTTTTGAGTGAGAAGTCATTCTCTATCCAAAATGGTCTTTTTTCCCCATTGTCAAATACATGTTCCTATCAGCAATGTTTTAATGTTTGAGGCAATCTTTTACGACATGTATCTTTAAAACAGAAACATGCTATATTTTTCCGTTCTTTTATCATATACATAAGTAAAACTAATGGGACGAGGAGGGTGTTGGTCCAGATTTCACTAATCTAATCAATTTAAAATGAATATTTCCTCACAATTTAGTATTAGAAATGTCCATGTTTGGATTTGAAGCACATGACCCCCATTTTAAGTAAATTTTCCTAGCCTGTGTCTATCACGGCTCTGGCTCAACGCTATTGACATGCGAATATCTTTATTTATGTACAATAGTGTAAAGTAAAAAAACTTGGGGAGAACAAAAATCACTATTTATATTGCATGTACATGCCTTATATTAAGTCAGGAACTAATTGAGGCCTTATTTATTAATATTACCAAAATTCGTTGAAACGCTAGAAAAAATTTAATTCGTTTTTACCAAATATTATTTCGTATTTACAAATTATTATTTCGTAATTACGAAATAACATTTCGTTTTTACGAATTAATATTTCGTAATTACGAAATAATATTTCGTAATTACGAAATAATATTTCGTAAAAACGAATTAATATTTCGTAATAACGAAATAATATTTCGTAATTACTAAATAATATTTCGTAATTACGAATTAATATTTCGTAAAAACGAATTAATATTTCGTAAAAACGAATTAATATTTCGTAAAAACGAAATAATATTTCGAAATTACGAATTAATATTTCGTAAAAACGAATTAATATTTCATAAAAACGAATTAATATTTCGTATTTACGACTTAATATTTCGTAAAAACGAATTATTATTTCGTAATTACGAATTATTATTTCGTAAAAACGAATTAAATTCCGGGGAAAAAAGTGTGGAAAATGTCAACTTAGGGGCTCCGTAGTACTTTTATGCATGTCTGCTGGAAATATGTTTTTTTTAAATTCAATTTATAATTTTTGTAATTTTCAGACAGCAGATATATAGTTTGATATACTTTCAGTGATGGTGAAAATAGAATATTTACAGTAGAATTCACATGTTTAATACATCCCCTAATTTAAGATTCCCTACGAACTTTCTGACACCTGAGACTAATAATGTGTTGGTCAAGAACAAATTCTACAACAATCGACCTTATTGTTCAACAAGCAACGCAAATAATTTACACAGAGATTTTTATGTATCAGATTTTATCAATAATTTGTGCATTGAATCATTTAGTTTAAAGTAATGTAAATTTATTCGTGAAATTAGAGCATTATGTCTTTGTCAGTAAACTTACCATTTTTACTGTAACTTTTCCAACTGTTGTCCGTTTGTCCGTTCACAAACACAGATACTAATGGATCTCTCGACAACTTGCAAGTTTTAGATGATTCCTGATAACTTACACTCATACAACCGTCCGTCTGATCGCAATAAGCACAACATTTTACTCTTGTAGGACTTGTGAGTGTCGTAAAAGTATTTTGTAGAAATATATCGTTAGTCCTTTGATACACATTTTTATTACCCGACACACAACAAAGCAATATTAACAATATTTTTACTTGATGAAATACAAAGCACGCCCGTGTTGTCGGGAAAGACATATTTCAATTAGTATAATAAACTCATTCATGAAAAAATATTACACAGATCACTTTTTATCACATAAATTATAATTTATGTGTTTAAAAAAATACAATTTAAGTTTATGAAAAAAATATAATTTAAGTGACTGAAAACCATGCTACACGAGTATTTCCTATTTTCTAATTTTCCATTTCCTATTTCCGTTTGACTTTTGATATAGTACTGTAAAAGTCATGTAAACTTTTCAATATGTGAAGAATTTTTTTTTTTCCAATTAGAAGAATGACGGGGAACTGTGACGGTATCCAATGAAAATACAACGTCAAATTATTATGATTAAATATTAACTAAATCACTGGGCTCAGTAAATTACACTTTGACAAGAAGAATATATAATGCACTGAAAGAATATGTCAATTATGATATCTCGTGGGCATATTAAATGAAAGCAATACTTGACGAAATAATGCCTTCAATGGCTACAGCAAAGCGAAATTAATATTTGAGCCGCGTCACGACAAAACCAACATTATGGGTTTGCGACCAGTATGGATCCAGACCAGCCGGCACATCCGCGCAGTCTGATCAGGATCCATGCTGTTCGCTATCAGTTTCTTTACTTGTGATAGGGTTTATAAGCGAACATCATCAGTGACGATGTACTCTATGTTTAAGTCAATTATTTGAAATAAAGAAACTGATAATCATTAATATAAAGTGGCTTTCGAAGATATGACCGTGAATTAGTAAACAAAAATTCTCAAGAATTTCTTTGGATTTCTGTATATTCTAGTTAATGAGAATAGTTAACCTTCCGATATTGATGGTGACATTGGTTTCAATTCAAATTGACGCTTAACCTGCTAAAGTTATAACATGGACTTGTCCAGTTTCTATGTCTGAAACTATCCATGATCTATTGTGGAGATATCAGGATAAAAAAAATAAGATGATCTGCCATCAGTATTGAAATAAGGAATAGTTTACATTATATCAACGCAGATAAAAAAGATGTTTATGATCAAATAAAATGTTTGCTGCATTGCATTAGTTGTGCCTTAAGGTTTAACCTATATTAGTTCGAATTACTGGAGTCTATGAAACCCTTACCTTCAGTAGGTTAGGTGGTTTTGACCCCTGGTGTTGCTTTAAGTTTGTAATACCCAAGGGTAGCAAAATCACCGTTCCTGTTTAGGCGCCTTATGACCTTTATTGTGTTGGTGTGCCGTGAAACCAAACAAACAAAGGTGGAAGTATAGTACATAAGTAGTCTGGCAATCTTATTAAAATCAGCTCCTAATTAACACTACGCATTAGGATCTGACGGTAACCAATATACCAATATAATAGGTGGTCATCTTCTCGTAATCTCGTAAACAGCCAATCGTCTTCGAGCTTTTACAATTTTAAAAGCGATGCGGTTTCAAATTTTAAGCGCTGGAAAACCAATACCGAGTTGCTAATTTTCACGACTTCGAGATTTAACATGGCGTTGTCCATAGAGCAAATCAATCTTGCTGGTTAAAAAACTGAGTCTATTATTTATTTCAAGTTAATGTGTTTCAAATTACTTCAAACATTTCTTTTTTGGCATTTGTTTTAATTCAACCGAAGCAATATTTTGATACTTCCGTATTCTACCTTCGAGTCGGACAGATTTTCAACAAAAAATGGTCCCAGTGGGAGCATTCAGATTGATGTAGTATCCTGCCATTGAATTATCACCCCTGGTAATATTCGAGGCAGAGTTTACATTTAAATTTGCAATTTATGGAAATACTTCAAAGATTTATGTTTACCTTAAGTTAAAATCATTATATTAATGTAGATATCAAACTAAAATATACTTTATTGTAACATAATGAAAGTGAAAAATTTCAAATGTCAAAACAATCATGATCTTGCCGTTGATGCTGGTGATTGTTGAAAAAATATAGTATATGATCAATTTCGGTAAAGCTTAGTGAAATGAATTCATTTTAAATGCTTAACATGCAAATAATTCTAAGAAATAATATAGATATTTTATCAAACATGCCAAAACGCTTAAGTAACTAGTTAATCTTTTTATCTAACATTTTAAAATGTGCTGAATATATGTGTACAAGTTTATATATCATACATACACTCATAAATCAAATATAATACATACGGGTGTTAAAATATGAATACATCGTTTTAAATCACGTTTAGCACGAACTTTGTACATGTATCGCATAGACAGTAGTGTAAGCACTCAATTGGTACTTTCTTTGTTTGTTTGTTTGTTTCATTTTACGCCTGTTTCAACAGTATTTCAGTCATATAGGCGGGTAGTTTCCTAACCATCGTTCCTGGAGAGTTACACCAGTACTAGACTACCTTCCTCCGCGCTAAACTACCAAAGCATCTCCCGGGGATCGAACCCACGCCAGAGAGTTAACTGGATTAGAAGTCATCCACTCTAACCCCACGACCACGGAGGCGGTTAAAATTGGTACAAATACATGTGTAAATCAGCTCAGTCTAGCTTTGACAATAGCTCGATTAATGCTAGCTACTCGTGTTTACTATTTAAAGCTAAAATGGTTGGGAAAAGGTCACCTTTCGTCATATACTGTTACGCTCCTGCGCTTAGTAGTGATCTGGTAGGATCCCTCTTACAAGACCAGTCGCTGTGAGCTGTTGATTTGAGTACCAGATATGGACTATTTTAATTTCCAGCTGCTCCAGGTGACTGTCAATTCCTGCCTGCCAAGCCCTCCGTAGGCTGCCTCTCTGTTTTCAGGCTGCCCTCTGTGTCTGTGCCTATCAGCTCCTCTGTTGACTGCAACTTTGTGCTGCCTGTTAGTCTGCTGTCCTTGAAGCCCTATGCCCAGTTCTTCTGTGGTTGACCGTAGCTACCCTCTCTGGCTGCTCCCCTTGATTGTGTGTAGTCCTTTTGCAGGCAGGAACTATCCTTTCTGACTGCTCTCCGTGACTAAGTTCAGTTCTTTTCTGTACGAAATCTGCTGTGGTCATAGAATTATTGTGTTTACTTTTTTTTGTCCATGGGCCCGGATTTGATCAATTAATCCCTTCGATTTACAGCTAAAAATAAACCCGCATTCAAGAACTCCTTTTGATTTCTATATTGGTTTCCCCTTCGGTGATTCGCAGCATATCATATTAATGAATGAGAACCGGAAAGCAGTTCTGCTGTACATGAATTCGAAACAAGTAATATCTTGAGTGTTTTAACCTAATATGGGTATGCTGAAAACGATGAGGGTGGATATCAAGAAAATAGAATTGACCTTGACCTTTAAAATGTCAATTCAAAATGGCCGCTTAATAATACTAAAATAGGTCATTAAAACTATGATACAGAATGGTGCAATTAATTATTCTTGTCAAAATCAAATGATTATTCAATTTAATCAGATTTTAATGAGATTGGCCACCAAATATAACGATTATAAGCCTAATGGCTCAATTAACAGTTATATACAGTACTGTTTTACTAGCGCGTTAAGGTATATGTCTTGGATTGAAAAAAATCACTTTAAATTTGTTTTGTTTACTTGACTTATATTTAACAATAAACTTAGTTTTAAATCCGTCTTTATAAATATTATGAAATAATAAATATTTCGTAATAACAAATTAATATTTCGTAATTATTACGGAATAATATTTCATAATAACGAATCAATATTTCGTAATTTAAATTTTATATTTCGTTAAAACGAAATAATATTTCTAATTGGGAATTATTATCTCGTAAAAACGAATTAAATTCCGGGAGAAAGTGTGGAAAATGTCACTTCAGATGTTCCGTAATTTTCAACATTATTTGTAGCTATGATTTTTTTAAGTTGTTCATTTTTTTTTCATATATTTTGCACTTATTATGGTATTTATGGTTAAAATTAGTATTAAAAAATTATTTTGAAATGTCAAAAATGTCATTTCAATGCCATAAATACAACACAAACCGAGACAAAAAGTGTTTTAAAATATATATTGCAACCCCCCCCCCCCCCAAAAAAAAAAAAAAACAAACAAAAACAGTAGGTCTTAAAAAAAGGCAACAGTAGGAATCGAACCATAGACCTCTCACACATCAGTTAATCACTTAACCGACTGTGCTACTGCCGAAGTAACGATAGCGTTTACATTTTTAGCAGATATGACTTTCACTAACATTAGTTTTATAGTTTTTATTTTATGAATTTCAGTGGATTACTGATTTATCTGTGAAAATTATATTCGATAATTTCACAGTGAAAATTATCAAAATATAATTTCACACTTTTCAATGACGAAACTACTTTCTTAAGATTTTCCTCATGTGGTACCTCAATTTTATTTTTGCTGACAATTCTGACAATGTGAGGCTGTTTAGAGAAAAGCAAAGCTGAAATTGATAAATAACTTAAAATGTCAAAAGTAATAAAAAGAAGAAAACTTACTTCTATACATCAGCAAATATGGTCTCTTAATTTTTTTGTTTCATTTTTACAGTCTGAAAAATACATTTCTTCCACATGCAAAACATCTCTTGATGACATTTACATAGATGACATATATAGATAGCACCTTTGTGAAGCCTTTACTCTCCAGAAACTAACTTAAAACATAATAATTACATAATTGCACGTATTATAAAAAAAATTGAATTAAGGCAATACAAAATTTTAAGAATATAAGTTTGTATTATGTTTATTCTACTTAAAACATTATCAGGATCAAAAACTCCTTTTGTAACCCTATTATCTAAGACATTATGGCTCTATCTCAATCTATGAAAGTTGTTTTCTGTCTATTTTCTGTACCTCAGGTTTATATATAAAATGTATTTATTTAGTGTTGAGCAAACTAGGTAAAAAATATTCAACTTACAAATTTACAAATCTTACTTTTTAAATGGTTACAACAACATTTCTGTCCCATTCTTTTATAAGATGAGTCACTTGCTGAAATGTTGAAATTAATAAAGAGCCGTTTTTCATCACACTGTGAACATTACACTTGTATGCTGCA